ATGCAGTCGAATTGAGTGCTGTCTTCTTTTTTTAAATCGATTAACAAACGACTTGTTACTCCAAAGGTTAACAGATTCAGATTTAGTCAGATTGTTTATTCTATTTTGTTTGCAAAACGCATAGCACAAACAATCTATTCTATTAATTATAATATTCTATTAATATATCGCACGCTGAGAAATTTAGTTTACCATACAAAAAATACAGTTTTGAGTCGGTATTTAAAAATTCCCTAAGTTTTTTTTTATCTTATAGTATAGTATTTCAAAAAATCAAAATCAAAATAATCTTTATTTCATAGGTAAGCATTGTTACACTTGAAATCGTCACATTGGATAAACTCTACCGCTCATTCGTAACGCAGATTCTCTTGAGAAGAATGAGCAAGAAACTCTAGGGGTTGCTCTTAGTAAATAACATTTGTACGCATTCAACATTTACAATATCTTTTTTCAAACATCAGAGATCGAGACTACCTCCATAAGCTAAACAGGTTACTACCACGGATTTTTGTCGTCCACGTACGCAGAAGTTGTACAATAACCTTTAGTATAAAGTTTTGTTTCACTATAGTTTTAAACCTCGTTAATGGCAAATTTTGTATATCAACCGGAGTCTTGTTATAGAAGCGTATACAATACCCCTTAAATGAATTTGTCACTTTGTGAAGACTATCAAGTTTATTTTTATTCCTCATATTAATTTTATGTCTGTCACTATTTTTTCCATAAAGAGATTACTATTCCTCTTAACATAAATTACATTTTCATAGATGTGCTGTGACGCTAGTGTAAGAATATTAATTTCCTTAAACTTATCTCTCAAAGATACTCTGGGGCCCAGATTGTAAATCGCCCTAACCGCACGTTTCTGCAGGACAAAGATTCTAATGATATCGGCGGCATTACCCTAAAGCAAAGTGCCGTATGTCATTAGACTGTGAAAGTAGCTGAAGTAAACCAATCTAGCGGTTTCGACGTCTTAAAGTTTCCGTATTTTTTAATCGCGTTCACCCCATTTCAATTTAGCATCTAACGTTATACCTAGAAATACAACTGTATCCACAAGATTCAATTTTTCTTTTCTAACTACAAAGTTTGTAACCGTCTCTCTAACATTGGGTAATGTAAATTTCACACAATTTGTTTTTTTTTTCTTTTTAAAGAAGCAGGTTAGTATCAGCAAACCAATCAACTACTTTAGATATAAATTTTATGGTATGATAGATCTTATATTGTTTTTATCGCTTAAACTCTGATGTTGATAACTCATACATATTATTTCTTAATAAAATTATTTTAATTTAATACATAATAGACACTTAATAAAATTTTTATTTTATTTTTTTTATTTTATTTTTGTTTTAGTGTCACCTTTCTTTGTATTTCAACTTTAAAAATTGTATTTAACGTGTATAAAATATATTTATAATTAAGGTTATTAAGCAATAAAACTCCAATACACGTGTAAATCATGTTATTGTTGTAAACAATTGTTGAATACTCGTTTTCCATTAGAATAATAGGCACAAAATTAAATTTTTAACACAAAATGTTAAACACTTGAAGTTTAATTAAGCTTGCTAGATACAAGCTTGAAATAAAGAAGTTAGCAGTATAATAAAAAAATATTGTGACCTGCATTTTTCTTTAATTGATTTAAAATGAAGGTGTGTTAGATGTCTAGTTTTTTAGCTCAAAAAGCAGCAACACACCTTAAACGAATCAAAAACTTGACTACCCTTTCATTTGTCACCCCGAAAATTGCCAAAAAGAAAAAAAAGACGGGAAAATAACCCGAGAAAATTACGAATTAGATTCTTTTAAAATTAAAATGAAATAGCAGGAACAATCTGACACCTTTCCATCGGACAAAATGAGAAGTTTAATAATATAATCTAGAATCCCAGTTGTTGTTCTGGATATGAAAAATACGTTAAACAGAAAAGATTGAAGCCCGAGATGTATTCCGGAATCTCTTTTGTCTGTAGTTGTACTCTTAAGAACTAGGTAAATTCGCAATTACATCTACGTTTTCAAATTTGTAAATTTTTTAATTATTATTAAAACAAATTTTTTATATTATTTCCTGGTGACTTTAGCACTGGTGTTAAACCTACAGCAAGCACTGTAACGTAACGTTACTACAACGTTGTTAAATTCATTTTAGAATAAATCGTTTTTCAAATTTAACACTATTAAAAATTTAACTCAAATATTAGCTTCAACAAATAAATCCTATTTTTAAATAATAATTGGTTATAAAACATTAAAACCGTGATTTATCATAGCCAAAATTGGTTAAATCTATGGCAGCTTACGTTGCATTGAATGATGTCGGAGACGCAGAGAGGAGAGGCGTGAAAAAAAAACACCGAAACCGGCGCCGGCGGCTGCATTTCACTGTGACATCTCATCGTTGCTGATCCTCCTAACCATAACGGCAGTAAGTACCTTAGATACTGCACTTATTATTAGATAAATATCGTACTGCTAATTAATCTAGAAACTACATAATCAAAAACAAATTAATAATAATATATATGATAAATAACTGCAGTATCTATTAAGTTACTGCAGTTTTTGCTAAAAATACACTTCATATTGATGCTATTTTCTAATGTTTTATACAGTCGAAAATCACAATTTGTTAGTATTTTCTTACTAAACATCGACGTAAAGTGGCAGCATGCTGCATTCCTTGAGGTTTTTGAGAATATCGGTGGCCTAATTCCCTCCCTTCACTTTTTTCTTTCCTCTTTTCGCGCTTCCTTCCATTCTGTAGTGCTAGCAACGACTGAGTAATGCCACTGGTATTACAAGCGCACATGATAGGCTACGTAAGAGTTCGAGTCCCACTGTTTATTATCCTGCTCCGGCAAGCTGACACCAAGCTTACAGGCTAACGTCATGACGACGTGTGGCAGGCCTTCTCCTTTTTGCTCTGGAACACCGGAAAGCTGCATGTCATTGAGCAGTAACTCTTGATCTCGGTCATTTAGTTGAGTATTTAATTGTTCAACTGCCACTAATAACGAGTTTGTCAACAGCACCTCCACCAATCCCGGCTCTACCATCAAAGCGATGCACCAGCGAGTTCACCCTCTCTTCAATCGTATTCACTCTCTGCTCAACAGTGGCCATCCTGTCAGAGAGCTTGGACAAGACTGTACTAAGTGACCTCATTTGCGTACGCGAAACCGCCATCTCCTCACGAAGTAAACGCATTTTCATGACCAAATTCTGTGTCAGTGACCCCTCCAGGGTCACGTTATGCTCTGTGTCATTGAGGAGACCATCGTTATCGGGTAGATTGGGCAGATAAGCCAACGAATCGTCCATATAGTCTGGAGCATCTTGAGTCGGTTTTCCGCCGCGTAACCCGGTCAACTGACCGCACAGGTGTATCAGCGTTATCTGACTTAGGCAGTTGGCTAACAGACAAAGGCCACTTCCAGGCGGCCCTGTGTTCGCAAGTTATAGTATTGAAGAATCGTTTCTCGGACACATTTGCACATAGTAGGTCGTAATGACATTTACAGCCGTCGCGCTTTGCAACAACTATAACTTAATTGTTTTTAAAGAGTTTACAACAGTTTCTATCAAAAAACATCTGTAAGCGTTTATCTAGCGCGCTCGTTGCTAAACAGAGATTAGCTTTTAGATCTAGAATATACAAAACCGATTTTAAATTAACGACCAAGACCAATGCCAATCAGAGCCATTATAAGCCTGCAATCGGATGCTCCCTACACCAAGGGCTTTTATAGACGTCCCATCTCCTAGCTGCAAATATGTTTATAGGCGAAATCCTTATACTCCGACATGTTTTATTGGCTTCTGCAAATATGTTGGGTGCAACAGTGGTTGTATCAACGACATCTGGTGTATAGATAGTGATCTATACACCAGATGTCGTGCGAACTATTATTATTATCAGAAACAATTAAAGCTTGTTCATCATCATTGCTCTTCTTCTTTATTTTATTATTTCTGAAGGAGCAAAATTTTTGTCGGATGACTAAAATTTTAAAATATTTTATAATGCGAAGAAAGGAATTCATGCGGAACTGAAAGAAGGTCCTTACATATCTGTTACTAAGAGGAAATTACTGTGTTCATTGCGCTGAATCTGGTGATGGAAATCAAAAAGAGCCTAAGTTATAGATACTACTTCTTCTCCAATGGTTAATACCGATCTTATCCTAATTGCTCTTATATCAGACGCTGAAGGGAGAAAAAGAAAACGGAAATTTTGGGTTAACGAGCTATGGGAGAAAAAAAGACATATTCTTGGCGAATTTAAAACACTTCGTAGTAACGATTTATATAAGTCGGAATTCGAGATATTTTTATGATTATTATGTTATAAAGAAATTCATATTTTTAAATGAAGTAAATATTGTTTCGTCTCCATCCATTCGGTGTCTGACGCATCACCACCACAAACCACTCCCCTTTAACCAATCGTCGACGTATTTGCATAACACAAATTTGTAACTTAATAATAAGAAAATAGAGATGAGTTGAGCCTAATTTGCTCAGCCTGTACGTATTTTATTCATATTAATTTTAAGCGCGCAGATTGCAGGACGCGAGAGGTCACTCGCTACGCCTCACTTTCTAAAACCTAGGCTTATTTCAAAATGACTCGCCTTAATCAACGACTGCCTCCGTGGTCGAACGGTTACCATGCCGGACTGCCACGCAGAGGTCCCAGGTTCGATTCCCGGGCCGGGAGAAATATTTGTATGACCTACATTTATTTCTCTCGTGAGTTTGGGTGTAATTTGTGGTTGTCTATGTGTGTGTCCTTGGCACCCGCGACACAGGGTTTCCCTAGTGCGGAGCTATGTTGAGTGTGTGCGTTATTAATGTGATGGTTTCAAGTACAATTTCAATTTGAATCAATGATTAACATCCCCGAAAGTAGATAAATAAAACCAAAATCAGACATCGCCATCTTTTATTACCATAATTGCTATCAAACGTGGAGTACGTCAAGAAGTGTGCCGTATCTCGACAAGCCTTGTGATCATATCAAAGAGACTGAACTGGCACTCGTCGTAGTATTTCTCGCAGTCACCTCGGAGACCATCCGCCTCAGCTTTGTAGTAGGATTCATCCAGACCTTCTTCACGGGATGACGAGGGACTGGAATAAAGGTTATCATTGGTTAGGGAGTTTTTTTTATATTACTATGTGGCGGCACTCACAAGTCTAATAAGCGGTTACCTATCAGTGGTCCGAAATGACATTTTCCAGAAATAACGTCTGCTCGAATGTTCATAACCGCTCACGCGATTCGCTCTTCCTACCGCAAAATGGCGGCTATTTGGTTTCGCAAATTAGAAAAGCATTCAGTTTAAATTACAAGTTTTTATAAATAAAAACTATTATTCTGCATTGCTAAATAAATACCCTCCGTACTGCCAACAAAAACATCTCAAATAAAATGCAGTAATACACCGCAAATCCTGCACTTAAATGGCACTAACGAAATTTTTGGTGTACTTGGATAAATATGATAATATTCCGTTTGAGTGGTTCTAACGTTTACCATGAAATTACTCCTTAAAGTATAGTTTATAAACATTTATATTCAGGTAAACTTAAAAAACGCTACTTACGGTATGTTTTAAATAAATAAACACCGAAATCACCAGCCCAAACAATAATAACACACACGATTGTCGTGACGTATTTTTGAAGTTGTTTATTTTTTTAAATGACAGACCCATTCATTAAACACTTTATGGTTTGCTAGAGTAGTTACCGAAATAGCAATTAATATTAGTTATTTTACCTGTTATAACTTCGATATCCTATAAATCGGTATAAAATCATCACCGGCACCTCTAGGTGTGGTATGCGTCTACGGCTAGGTATCGCGTGAGCGGATAATGTTTCGTAATGTTAGGTTACCCTAATGAGCGACTCGCTTCTTCAAATCGCAAAGATCTCAGGAGTACTGTCACTGCAAATGTAACCCTGAGATATAATTTCACAATCTGCTTGTAATATCATCAATATCTTAACCCCTCAAAACCGGAACGCAGTAATGCTTACTTGACGGGAAAAATTAGTAAGGTGGCAGTACTTCCTCTCAAGAACGCTTTCGCAAGGAACTCTACTGCTACTAAAAAGCTACCACCTTATCGGTACAGAATCGCATTGTCTTGATCAGAAAAACCTTTATCTCCGTGCAATAAGAGCGAAAAAGACATTCGCATCGAATGGTCAGGAATGGTGGAAACACGCAACGTTTCTTTCTGATCGGTTGTAAGCCGAATTCGTGTTAATAAGTGTAGTGACTTCCTTACAGGTTTCTTATCACATTATTTCGATAAACATACGACAAAAGTGTCGGAAAAAAATTAGTGACAATGGTAACGCTGCAAGAAATCGCGATGAAAGACGATCGACACAGATTTATTACTTCGCAAAGCTGTCAACTGCCACAAGCCACTCGACCCGTGACCATGAAGCGTGTAGTCATTCCGAGATATTGGGACGATAATAAAAAGGTAGGCAGTGGGTGAATATCTATATTCACAAATGGAAATGAAATTATTTTTTCGAATCTATTTGTTTTTCAAAAAACGTTTCGGGCGCTTTACAGATCACATGGTTATTCAGCCATCAAATATAGTTTCATTTCCAAAGTACCTACAAGAATCGCGAAAATCTACCCACTCGATAATCACAAAAAGTTGAAAATCTAACTATGTTATTTTCGCTTCTTGCCCGTGGACCATCTGTCTGGTTCAACTGGGTGAACCATGGGCAATTATTGCTTCCTCCAAAATAGAAATACTCAAAACTTATATTGATGGTGGTCCACCTCAATAAATTAACAGTTTGACGCTGGCCATTATAACATTTATCGTTTTGAATGAAATATAAATAAAAATAAAGATATAAGAAAAATAAAATTACTAAAAAATCTCCAGGCGAGCCACGGGAAGAAAGAATTCAGGTGGACAAAGGTGGGCATTTTATGAAGAGACTACACTTGAAACGAGGAAAACGTCTTTAGTGACTAAGTAAAAAGTTAATTCGGATACAAAACAGAAATGGTTTCCCATTGGAGTGTTATGATGTCACCGGCCAAGATCTTTTGTTGTAAATGTTTTTAAAAACAATACATCGTTTTACAATCCCTTAACAAGAATGTGTTGCACCCATAATGACTTTATTAAGGATAACAAACAATTCATCATCATCGTATCAGCCGGAAAACGTCCACTGTTGAACATAAGCCTCCCTCTTTTCCAGACTAGCCGTTCGGACACGACGTGCATCCATCGGTTTCCCGCCGCCCTTACCAGGTCATCCGTCCATCTAGTAGTTCGTGGTCTCCATTCGAGAACCTTTCTGCCCAAATGGCCACTAGTTCTATTTCTATTTCTATAAAACTTATTTTTTTTTTATAATTATTAAATACAAAGATCGAACATTCAGAAAAGACACTCAGAAAAAATTCCTTCGATCCGGTCGGATTCGAACCGACGTCTTCTTGCATACCGTGGCAGACGCTATACCAACTAAGCCACGGAACGAACCGCTGTAAAGGTACTAACTGGGTGATAAATCTGTAATAGATTTCTCATAGATGGCGCTACGACTAAAAAGTCGTTGAAAGACCAAGTACAAAGACACGACGCAAGCACACAGAGAAATGCGTGAGGTCCGTTGCTTAGTTGGTATAGCGTCTGGCACGGTATGCAAGAAGACATCGGTTCGAATCCGACCGGATCGATGGAATTTTTTCTGAGTGTTTTTTCTGAGTCGATCTTTGTATTAATAATTATAACAAACTAGTGGAGTAATTTCATAAAACATAATTGAATATCTATTCAATAAAAATTTAATTTTTTTTTTTAATAAATGGCCACGTCTCAGAGCCAACAAACAATTACATATATTTAATTCTAAGTGTTGCGTATTTCAAAAGTCCATCTCAAGAAAGCCAGTTGAACTTTTTTTATTTTCGCATTTTTATTTTAACACTTTTTTCTTTCTTTTTCTATTTTTACTAACATAAATTTTGTAATTTATAATAACGTACATACACAACATAGCCCTACGCTAGGGAAACCCTGTATCGCGGTTGCCATGGACACATACATAGACAACCACAAATTACACCCAAACTCACGAGAGAAATAAATGTAGGCCGTACAAATAGTTCTCCCAGCCCGGGAATCGAACCTGGGACCTCTGCGGGTCAGTTCGGCATGGTAACCGTTCGGCCACCGAGGCAGTTTCAGTTTATAATTAATTGACAATTACTTTTTTAAACTCTTGGTGGGCGTTCTGATTCAAATCTAGTTTTTAAGCAAATTAATGTTGGTTGTCAACTATTGGCAACTCCTATGAACAATACGCCAACTAATTTTAGGACTTGGTTGTTTTTAATTTAAATTTTTATTGAATTGATATTCAATTATTTTTTATGTGAAAATACTACACTAGTTTGTTATAATTATTAATACAAAGATCGGAGGATCGGCCGGATCAAAGCCGATCCGGCCGTATTCGAACCGACTTATCCTAGTAAACCATGGCAGACGCTATGCCAACTAAGCCACGGAACTGACCTCACGAAAATTTTCTATGTCCTTGTTGTCGGATCTTTGTACTTGGTTTTCAACGACTTTTTGTCGCAGCGCCATCTATGAGAAATCTATGAAAGTATTTCGTCACCCAGTTACAGTACCTTTACAGCTAGCAGCCTGCTAGCTGGCTAGAAATGTTTTTATTTTGTGTTTTATTTCTTTATTTTTTTCACATTTTTTTTTTTTGTTTTGGTTTTGGTCGAATTTTGTTCCTTTATTTTTTTACAGAGTTCGGGGAGCATACGTTTTTTGTCTTTATTTTTTTCTCATTTAAACTTTTGTTGTAAGGCTGTATCTATCCTGTATATTAATTACCTAGATATAATACTCGGAAACCTGCTAAAACTCATGCTTAGCGAAATTCATCCTTATCTTAACGCCAATAAGTATATATTTACTCAGCTTAAGGTTGAAAACTTACGTGAATATAATGTGCATAATGTGGCCCAGAAGACCGTTGTGGTGCAGCGGAGTTTCAGCAGCTTCGCAAATGTTTCGTAACAGACATTCTCTGCCATTTATTCCGTTTCTGTAACATACAGAACCTTTCACAATGTTAGGTAAGATTTGATTTACTTATGTTATTATTCATTGGTGATTATCATGATGAATCCAGTTTCGCGCACATTCCGGAAACCGATCTCAATAAAATTTGGCAAATAGATGTAACGAACAATTGAGGTCGGTTTTTTTTTATAAAAAGGCATTGACTTACAATTATATGGACGTCGGGTCCGCGCTAAAAAGTGTGCGAACTTATAGGGCGTTAAAATCGTATACAAAGCGTCATTCACGCTCTAGTCTTCATTTGTTCGACTGACAGCGAAGCAAGCAAAATTAGACAGTACCTCGATGACATTACAATTTAAATACAACGTTTTAGCTTTTTCATATTCCTTGACATGTCACTACATTTAAATAGGTTGACTTGGGACATTTTTTTCGTGGTTTTTGTATTAGATCCATCGTCCATTTATTTGTAACTCAATGTAAAAAGGTTATAATTATGGTATCAAACAACGGGACGAACAAGTCGTAAGCCTGGAGATAAATGACACGCCAATCCATGACAATTGCAGTGCCACTAGATAGACCTAAGGGGCACTGCCACTGCTATATAAGTTGAAAAGTCCCGTGTGCCTGTAATTTCACCAGAACTCTTACCCTACAAAACCGAAATGCAGTAACACATTACAGCTTGACGACAGACAAGGTAAGGTGGTAGTACTTCCCTGGACCAACTCTTTCACAAGGAGCTCTACTGCTACACTGCATGTTTATGTCGATATACCAACCATCCTCACGAATGCTTCCCGAAAATGAAATGTTAGCACGATTCATTAGCAGATATTACGAATTCGTCTATTACGTCACGTTGCAGTTTTGTTTGCAGCACCACCTGTCACAAACTTATGACAGTTTGTTCCTCCTAGGTATCGTTACAGCTACTAGAGACTGACAAAAAATGTCACTATATTAATTTCAATATTTTTTATTGAATATCATGATACAAATATGAAGCTTATTTTTTTCTTAAATTATTCGAATTTTGTCAAATTATTTTTTATGTTTGCAACATTTGTAGACTCCGTGTAATTGCGTTGGGTTTGATGTCGTCCTCAGAAGGTACTTTTATGCGGCACGGTGTCGACTGCATTCATACGAATATATTCATGCAATATACTTATAGACGATAACCCTAGCTCCAACTATTGCAGGGTCGAGGACATCACCACCAACAATCCGCTAAATTAGACCAGGTTCACAGAGATTGGTTTACCTTGAGGTGACTGACTACCCAGCTGTTTACGCGAGGGAGTCACGCCCCTAAGTAATGAGGAGTACGACGAAAGGAGATAATTGAGTAACTGTACTCAGTTACTCAATTATCTCCGTAGTTACTTACTCTTTGAATTTCGTTTCCAGTACTATGTACGCTAATGCTCTAGTGATACTGCGACTGTGGCGCGAGCTTATTACCTGGAAATAAGGAAACATATAAGTCGGTAATTTATTGAAATTAGCAGTTGCTAAACAAATTTAAAATTAAATTCTGTATTATTAGATGTCCCTATCTACCGACCCGACAGATAGATTTTTCCGGAGAGACTTTGATACGGCGGGCGTCCGGGCCAAATCCTCCGCCAGTGATGTGCTTACACGGGCGTCTCTGCTGGAACCGAACTTGGGTATGGACTCGCTGGAGTTTGTGGTGAACTGCAGAGACGGACGTGTTTGTCTGCCCGGTAACATGTGGCCGGAGCGTCTGTCTCGTGCGCAGCTAATCCGCCTTACTAGCTTAGGGCCTGAAGCGAGGAGACGCGCGGGGCACGTGAGTTGCCTTTTAACTTGGAAGCTATGTCCGGACATTGTCGCAAGACACTGCGACTGGCATCTCCGGCACTAGCCCGGAGAGCTAGCAGAGGACAAGCTAGATATCCTCCGGTCCCTCCAACCGCTTAGGTTATTGGGAACTAGAGAGACGTCGGTTTTCGGCGTCGGGAAGTGAGCGTGCAGAGCTCCGCTACCAAAGTGGACATTTGGTAGTGGACTTTAGAGTCAACGGCTTAGCGGTTACAATCGTTAGATGCGCAATGCGCAACGGGAACTCAACGTGCATACAGTACCTATATCTCCGGTACCTATCTGGAAAATAGGGAGAGTGCTGTACGTGCTCCCGAGGCAGCTCACCCACTAGTCTATTAAGACCCGGATGAAGTCTGTGCAAAGAGGCTGGTCTGAGGTCAGGACCGCCCTGGCCACACAGGCTTGCCCTTCTCGTAGGTATAGGTACCCTAAGGGTCGGTAGGAAGTATCACTCTAATCAAAACTTATGTAGAAAGAAACGGGGGTGTGTGTTATTAAACAGCTAGTGCTAACAGATTTGTAGTAGATACGTACAGGTAAATTCGGAAAAATAACTTCGTCAATCTCAGTGATGTTAGTGACAACACTGTAGTTGCATTCAAAGTTGTACGAAACGAACACGTTCTTGTCAGGGATGTCCACTGGCACCGCTATGGCTACGAATGTCTGAAAATAAATGTTATTAATTAAGTATTTATGCTTAGAAGTCGATACTACCTCAGTTAGAATTTTTTTTCCGTTACTAATACAGTTAGTTATACTAATTTTTTAACAGTTATATTATACTGTTCATTTTGCTTGGGTCGACCGGCAGGGTTATTTCAGAATTTAATTTTTTACCAGCGAAATTAACGCCATTTAAAAAATGTATATCGTATACTATACCTGTTCTATTTAGTTCAGTTGATATATAAAAAAATTATTGGTACAAAAGGTAAAGTACCTATTTAATACAGTGGTTTCTTGTAAAATTTCAAAAGCAATTGTACAGTGGCTGTTGGTGTTGCACTTTATGTAAACGGTATGTAAATAAACAATTCTAAATTTAATTTATTAGTCTCGCCTTGAAAAGGCCCAAGTTATAGCGTTCAGGGAATAAGTCAGCAGGCAGGGAATACCACTCCATAGTCGTTCGCCTCTACTAAAGCCGAATCACCTGCAAGCTTCTTGACACGCTTTTCAACTGAATCCAAGGCGGCCAGTTGCTAATAGCAGAATCAGTATATTCAATTTGTAACAAATGTTTGTATTTCGACTTCATCGTAATATTTTCATTAGCATGGGATAATTAGAAAACTTAGTAAATAACTCAGAGAGAATCGTTATCTACCGAGGATTATCCGTGAGCCCATTGAAATAAAAAACACATCCTAATTTCAACAGGGAAGATGGTTTCTCCGTACTACTCTTGTTAATAAAGCAGTCTTCTTGGGAGTGACCTTAGATAGTAAACTTCAGTGGTTTCCACATATATCGTCCCTGGCCAGCAGATTAAGCTCCGCTGCATACGCAGTCCGCAGAATACGTGAGCTTACCGATATTAGTACTGCTAGACTAGTTTACTTTAGTTACTTCCATAGTATAATGTCCTACGGGATTCTCATGTGGGGTAAAGCGGCAGACATTCAAACCATATTTGTATTGCAAAAACGAGCGATTCGTTCTGTGTACCGTCTAGGCTCTCGGGTATCTCTCAGAGAAAAGTTTAAGGAGACTGGTATCATGACTGTGGCATCACAGTACATTTACTCAAATATTTTATATGCCCGTAAAAATTTACATAATTTCAATAAGAAAGAAGATATCCATAATATTAACCTTAGAGCTAAGTCCAAACTCATGGTACCACGATTTCGTTTAACCAAGGTAAACAACTCTTTTATGGGGAACTGTATACGTTTTTACAATAAGATTCCGGAGCATATATTAAGTTTATCATTTCCTAAGTTTAAAAACTACATTAAAAATATTTTGATCGAAAAATCATATTACAAAATTGAAGACTACGTATTAGATAAAGATGTATGGAAAGACGACATGGATCCAGAATCCACACAAATTTGATTCAAAGTGTATTCCATAGCATTTAAGTTTATTTGAAAAGAGCAATCCCTAGAGTTTCTTGCTCGTTCTTCTCAGGGAGGTCAGCGTAGTGAACGAGCAGTAGCTTAAATGTAGCTTAAATGTGACGTTTTCAAGTGTAAATTTATTTTACCTATGGAATAAATAATCTTTGACTTTGACTTTGACTTTGACTTTGACTACCAGTTTGTGATCCAGTATTTTCTTTGATGAAAAATCCCAAACAGACATAGACTGCATGAATATATTATAATTTATTCTAAATTCCATTATTAATTAATAATAAATTTAAACAGTCAACCATGACCATGGGACTTGTATAGGGCCTGAAACGTATTGGTTTGTTTGAAAAAAACAAATATACGCAATTTAAATTCGGAAAAGTAGTTTTATCTCCTATAATAAATTTAATTTGACAAAAAGCTCATATTGTTAATATAAAATAGTTGTAACACATATGTATCATAAATTGGAATGTTCCTTATAAAATTTAAAAATAAGGTATTTAATTAATAACTTTTGTAACTATAGTGAAAAATAAAGTGATTTGTATTAATATTAGACATAACTGGTTGAAGACTTTACCACCTCAGTTAACCGTGACCTTGAGACCTGTACAGGGCCCGAAACGTCGGTTTGTTTGAAAAAACAAATATACGCGATTTAAATCCGGAAAAATAGTTTCATTTCCTATGGTTAACAATCTCGAAACCCCAAGAACTCGATAGCTCAGAGGGAACTTAGTAGACAATACCGAATCCGGGTCTTACGAGACATGAGTCCTCCCAACCAGGCCAACAATGCTGTTATTTGTCATCATATTGTGCATGGTAATCGAGATTTAACAGGTTATGTAAAAAATCAGTTCATATGAATGATACGCGGTTTAAAATTACGGATAGCATAGTATAAACGGGACTGCAAAACATGAATTAAAAGCTTAATTAAAAGCTTGTAATAAAAAAAGCCGCGCTGGTATAAGCTTCGTTGGATTTATAACGTGCATTACCAGCAGCCAGTCATTTAGACTGATACAGACGAATGTGGAGTTTACATTCGTCATTGCTATAGTACTTTTTTATCTCTTTTAGTTTCATTATTACATATAAGAATCATGCAAAACAACGTTGTAGTGCAATCTCATATAAACAACATACTGATCTTAACATTTGGGTAAGAGCGACGCGTCATAGGCGCTGCCGGAGCGTTGCATTGTTGTAACGTTATGATTTCAACGCACCAAGTGATACACGAGCAATGTGGTGTCGCAACGGAACGCCGCCGCTTACTTACACACCGCAGCACCCCTCCCCGCTTCGTCTCCTTAACCCCTGTTCGATGCGCACGGGTTCTGAATCTGAACCTGAATATGAATCAGAATTATGCATCGCAACGCCGACCATACGCATCGTGTGGCATCGCTCTAAAGTCAATTTCAGTTGTAAATTACGGCTGTGTTTTTCCTTATTAGCTGAATCTTTCAATCAGTTTGAAGAATGACTCAACTGAGAGAATAATAATGTTTGCAGGATACTGGGGAACAGAAGCTTTATTTACTTAATAAACAATTTTTATTTATAATATTATGTGACGAGACGATATTCACAAAAGTAATTTCACAATAAATAATTGAATATCAATTCAATAAAAATTTAAAATACGGTGAATAGCGACATCTCGCGCCAGGGCCGGTAGCTGTAAAGGTATCTAACTGGGTGATAAAACTTTCATAGATTTCTCATAGATGGCGCTACGACTAAAAAGTCGTTGAAAAACCAAATACAAAAACACGACAACAAGCCCATAGAAAAATTCGTGAGGTCCGCTGATTCGTTCCGTGGCTTAGTTGATATGGACACCATATCACGTATATGGCACAGTATGCTAGAAAACGGATCGAAGGAATTTTTTCTGAGTGTTTTATCTTTGGCATTGACTTACAAATAAATGGACGACGGGTCTAATACAAAAACCACGAAAAAAATGTCCCAAGTCAACCTATTTAAATGTAGTGACATTTCAAGGAATATGAAAAAGCTAAAAAGTTGAATTTAAATTGTAATGTCACCGCAATGTTATCTAACTTTGCTTGCTTCGCTGTCAGTCGAACAAACGAAGACTAGAGCGTGAATGACACTCTGTATACGATTTTAACGCCCTATAAGTTCGGACACTTTTTAGCGCGGACCCAACGTCCATATAATTGTAAGTCAATGATCTTTGTATTAATAATTATAACAAACTAGTGGAGTAATTTCACAAAAAATAATTAAATATCAATTCAATAAAAATTTAAAAATTACATTACTTTGTAATAAAGGAAACAAACAATGAAAATGAAAACAATAAACTCGACTACATAAAAGTATGTTGTGTCTGACAGATTGAATTGATCTTCCTTAACAAGGTCCCGGCAGACAAGCAAAGTCGGGGGCAACCACGACATTTATGCTGAACCTGCTCTTTCACTGCCATGACTTAATGAAATGGCCTTATTCACACCTTAATTAAAGCTTGTTACATTTCATTTGTAAGCTGTTGTTTTTATACCGCATCATTGGTGTAAAAAGTCTCATTTGCGAAATGAGAACTTCTCAAGACAGAAATGTGGCTTTATTATAACACCGAGCGTTAAGGCATAGTGCTTTTTAAATGGGACAGTATGGGAAAATCCAAAACTATAGAACATACAAGGAAACTGTCTTAGGAAACATCATGTCCTTTTTTTGTGAAAAAAATTTTGGCATTATCAATTTTATTCAATTTGATCAACTTTTGCTGTCCCAATTTTTTTCATCCGATACAATGAAATTGAGTCGATTATCACTAGAATAAATTTTGATCAATTTTATTCATTTTTATGGACAACTCACGGTTGAGCAAAAAATTTAAACGGTAGCAGTGGAACTAGGGTTCGTAAGTAGCTAAAGCACTTGTGTTATGGAAATCGAAAACAACGACGGTACCATAACCACCCAGACCCGAGATAATATAGAAAAGTTTGTTTTCTACACTGATCCGACCGGGGATCGAACCCGGGACCTCTAGAGATGGCGGCACCATCGGAAAATCGGTGTGCAAGCCACTCGATCACGGAGGCCGTCAAAAAAAAGTCCTGTCACCTTACCTATTTCTACCAAGTAGGTGTGACATGTGAGCATTACTGCTTTTCGATTTTGAAGAGTTAGCGTGCAGGTGAAATTACAGGTACATGGGACTCGTCAACTTATGTCTCATGATGATGATGCTTCTTAGATCTTTACGAAAATAAATAATAAAATAATTGTTTATTTCGTCAACACAGAAAAACACACTTATATTATATAAACAACATTAAATGTTGCATCCCTTGTGAGGGATCGTACTACGCAACTAAACCTGGCCGCCACCCTTTCCGAGTAGTCTTGAGTAAAGCCAATAATAAAAAAAAAACAACAACAAAATACTGAGCAATAAAAATTGCAAATAATAATAACGCTCACAATCAACATCATAGTATCATAATGCTAATAATTGCAACGTTTTCATTGAAAAATTCTCATACCGTCCCGTACATCATTCAAAAACCGACCTCAAAATTTAGT